CAAATAAAGTAGACTTCAGATCGAAGACAATTGCCAGAGACAGAGAGGGACATTACATAATGGTAAAAGAGTCAGTCCATCAAAAAGACATAGCAGTTTTAAATGTGTATCACCTAACAGCAGAGCCACAAAATATGTGATGCAACACCTGGTAGAACTTAAGTGAAAAATTAACAAACTCACAATTATAGTTAGAGACCTCAACTCCTCTCTCAATAATAGATAGAACAACTAGACAGAAAATCAGCAAGAATATAAAACTCAATAACACCATAAATGAGTAAGATTTAATCAACTCACAGAACATGGAACAACAGCACCATACACTTTCTTTTCACATGCCCACAGAACATATGCCATGATAGATTATATCTTGGGCCACAAAACAAACCTCAATAAATGTAAAAGAATCGAAACCATATAGAGTTAATCTCAGGCCACTATGGAATTAAACTAGAAATCAACAACAGAAAGATATTAGGAATATCTGTAAATACTTGGAAAATAACAAAATATTTCTATATATAATCCATTAGTCAAAGAGTAAATCTCAAGAAAAAGAAAAATATATAGGACTAAATGAAAATAAAAATACAGCATATTAAAATTTGTGAACTAGAGATAAATAGTTGCTGAGAGGAAAATTTATAGCACTTAATGGTCACATTAGAAAAAAGAAAAATGCTTTAAACAATCACGTGAACTTTCACCTTAAGAAACAAGAAGAGGAAGAGAAAACTAAACTTGCAGCAAATCAAAGGGAGGAAATAAAGATAACAGAAATCAATGAAATCGAAAACATAAAAGCAATAGAAAAAATTAAATGAAACAAAAACTTGGTTTTTTGAAAAGAACAATAACATTCACAAACTTCTAGCAAGACTGCAAAGAAAGAAATAGAGAAGACACAAGTTGCTAATATTGAGAATGAGTCGGGATATCACAGGGCCTGTAGACATCAAAAGGATTATGTGGGAATACTGTAAACAACTCTATGAATAAATTTGACAACTTAGACAAAATGGACCAATTTCTCAAAATATACAAACTACTGTAACTCACCTTATTTGAAATAGATAATTTGAATAGCCCTATAAATATTAATAAAATTTAATTTGAAACTTCCCAAAAAAGAAATCTAGCTCCATTGGTTTTACTGGAGTATTCTACCAAATGTTTAACAAAGAATTAACATCAATTCTATACAATCTTTTTCAGAAATTAGAACACTTCCCAGCTCATTCTATGAAGCCAGTATTACCTTGATACTAAAACCAAATAAAGACAGTACATAGAAACATTTCAGACTGATATCCCACATCAATATGGATGCAAAAATTTTTAACAAAATATTAGTCAATAGAATTCAGCAGTATAGAAAAACAATTATACACCATGGCCAAGTAGGGTTTATTCTGTGGTTACAAGGCTAGTTTAATATTTGAAAAATCAATTAATGTAATCCACCATATAAACAGGCTAAAGAAGAAAAAATAATATGATCATCTGAATTGGTACAGAAAACATTTGACAAAATTCATCAACCATTCACGATCAAAAAGTAAACTCAAAAAACTCGGACTAGGGTGAATTTCTTCAACTGATAAAGAATGTATACAAAAACCCTATAGCTAACGTTATACTTAATGGTGAAATACTGAATATTTTTCTCCTAAAATAAGGAACAAGGCTAAAATGCCTGCCCTTACTGCTGCTCTTCAACATAGTACCGGAAGTTCTAGCCAGCATAGGAAGGCAAGAAAATGAAATAGAAGGCATACAGATCAGAAAGGAAAAAATAAAACTGTCCCTGATTGCAGATGACATACAGTCTATGTAGAAAATCACAAGGAATCTACAACAAAACTCCTAGAAGTGATAAGTGAGTTCATCAAAGTTGTAGAATATAAAATAAACATACAGAAATTAATTGTATTTCTGTATACTAACAATGAATATGTGGAACTGAAATAAATGCAATACCGTTTACAATCTTTCCAAAGGAAATTAAATACTTAGGTATAAATTTAACAAAAGATGTTCAGGACCTATATGACGAGAATTACAAAATGCCGATGAAAGAAATC